ATATATCTATATAGCTCTATATATATATAGATCTATATCTATATATATATGTACCATAAGTTATAGTTCCCATAAGCTTCCATACAAAAGTATGGAAGCTTATTTCCCAGCCCACCATGTGTCATGTGACCAGAATCACATGACACTGACCGCCTTGTCATCGGCGGTCAAACGAGTCTTTCATGACCCGACATTTCTCTTGAACCATGCATAGCTTGTAAACTGAAGAAAGGATCAACCAATCTTAAAGCCCATTAAGTCTCTAATGGGTTTTGTGTTTGCAAGCATTTACTGCAAGGCAAGAGAAGTGATTTGTGACCAAATGATCGCAGATGCCCAACATTCAAAGGCTCTGCTTCTGCTGATCATTGACGTCAATCTATGACGTCAGATTCGGAGTTTGAATGCGACGGAGAAGTGTGACGTGACCAGCTAAGCCAATCAGGTATCGGTCACGTGATCTTCCTGAGGCAAACTCAAAGCTCGAATCAAACGTCATAGATTGACGTAATAGTCCTGTAGCCTCTCCACCATCATTTAGACATTAATTATTTTATTAACCATCAAATATAAATTATATATGAAATATATGTAAATTATAAATATATATCTAGCTATATGAAAATATAAATATGTTGATATAGATATAGATATCTATTTCTCTATAGGTATCTATATATAATTTATATTTGATAGGTATTGTCCACATTATCTGCAAAAGAACATGATTTGTGATTACATTATCAAGACGTCAATCTATGACATTTGATTCGGGCTTCGAGTTTGCCTCAGGAAGATCACGTGACCAATACGTGACCAATACCTGATTGGCTTAGCTGGTCATTTACGGCAAGCCGTTTTAACATCAATTCGGTTTTGCCTGACTATCCGTAATTACGTTCCAGATATCTCAAATTGTTTTATGACTAGACGTTTTAGCAATTTAAGATATCTCCAATTACATTCTGACTAGTCAAAATGACGTCAGATTTACCATTGATTTGTATGGGGACTTCAATTCAAGATATCTACAATGAATTACTGACTATGTGAAATACACATTTCAGATATCTACAATTAAATTATGACTAGTCAAAATTATAATTCAAGATATCTCTAATTAGTCCATAATTCAAGATATCTTAAATGTATTTTTGGATAGAAGAAATGTAGTTTTGACTAGTGGAAATTAAATTATAGATATCTTAAAAGCAAATAATGACTAGACAAAACTAAATTAGAGATATCTAGAATTATAATTTTGACTAGTCAAAATTCCTTTTACGATATCTCTAAATGAATTAGAGATATCTGGAATTATTCAACTTTTCTATTTAAGATATCTTAAATCAACATCCTGACGAGTCAAAATGACATTACTGATATCTTGAATTGGCATTCTGTCTAGTCAAAGCGTCACTGATTTACGTGGCAATTTGAAAGTTTAATAAAACAATGAAAAAACGAAAAAAGATGTTTAAAAATGCACAACTTTCATGTTGAAAATAGAATTGACAAAGCAGTTTTAGCTTTTCAAAGTTGTTTTTAAGTGCATTCAGTTTGTCAGAAATGAATGAACAGGACATTTTTTGCAGACATCATTAGCAGTCTTATAGTTTATAAAGTTTTGCATTCTGCGCATGTCCATTATTGCCGAGCTCTTTCTAATTTGTGGCATTCATGGACAATTTTGTGCAGGAAACATAAAATTCTACAGGCAACAGTTTGGCGGCACAAAGGGGCTTCAACGTCATTCTTAATTCGGATATCTGAAATTGTAATTTTGACTAGTGATAATTACGTTCAAGATATCTCAAATCGTAATTCCGGATACGTGTCTCGTCAAATTGCAAATCCTGTGACGTTTTGAGATATCTTGAAAGAAATTTTGACTAATCAAAATGTAATTGAAGATATCTTGAATTATTATTCTTACTAGTCAGAATGTAATGCAGATATCTTAAATTACCATTCCGGATAGTCAACATGTAGTTTTGTCTAGTCAAAATGCATTTTCAGATATCTGGAACGTAATTACGGATAGTCAGACGAAACCGAAATTATGTTAAAACGGCTTGCCATAGCTCATTGGTCACGTGACACTTCTCTGTCGCATTCAAACTCCGAATCTGACGTCATAGATTGACGTCAATGACCAGCAAAGCAGAGCCTTTGAATGTTGGCCATCTGCGATCATTTGGTCACAAATCACTTCTCTTGCCTTGCAGTAAATGCTTGCAAACACAAAGCCCATTAGAGACTTAATGGCTTTAAGATTGGTTGATCCTTTCTTCAGTTTACAAGCTATGCATGGTTCAAGAGAAATGTCGGGTCATGAAAGACTCGTTTGACCGCCGATGACAAGGCGGTCAGTGTCATGTGATTCTGGTCACATGACACATGGTGGGCTGGGAAATAAGCTTCCATACCTTTGTATGGAAGCTTATGGGAACTATAACTTATGGTACATATATATAGATCTATATAGATCTATATATATAGAGCTATCTAGATATATTGATGTATCTATCTAGATAGATCGATATCTATATAGATACATCGATATATCTATATAGATATATCGATGTATCTATACAGATATCGATATATATTTATATATATATATATATTGTAATATATTGTAATAGTTTCTCATCACTCATATCTGAAAGCGAACAGTAAAATTAGAATATTACATCTGATCCAAAAGGACATTTCATGTCGTCTGTCCACAGAGCCACAGGCTGTCTGTGATCAGCCACTTTTTAAGAATAAGCGTCAGGTTTAGTGTCACTTTGACGGTCGGAGGCCCAATGTTAAAAAAAAACAAACAAAAAAAACAAGAGACATAACAACAAAATGCAGTTGAGGTGGGTTTATTCGGTACCGCAGGTCACATTTGGACCGACACCAACAGCCAGAGCAGATCCAGTCGGGACCCTGAAATCCAAAGGGCACGCCACCCCTCAGGAGAGTCCCAGCAGAGCCAGGTTCAGGACCCGAGAGCCATCACCCCTCTGTACACCCAGCTCTGGAGACCACGAACCAACAACACTCCAGTGGGCAGAGGCACCCACCAGTCACCAAATGACAAGCAGCTACTTAAAAAGAAATCTGGTATGCAATCTATGAGGTTTGGCATGTTGTTTGTCTGCTGCATTTTACATTTGATAGGTAAATGAAAATAGAATCACATTTTTATTGATGAACTGTGCGTGCGTGCGTGTGTGTGTGCGTGTGTGTTCGTGCGTGCGTGTGTGCGTGCGTGTGTGTGTGCGTGCGTGTGTGTGTGTGTGTGTGTGTGTGCGTGCGTGTGTGCGTGCGTGTGCGTGCGTGTGTGTGTGTGTGTGTTCATGGTCAGACTTTATGTGCAGGTTGCCATATCCCAGTGACTTCATTCTGTTTTTTCTCGCATTTTAGGAAGACAAATAACAGACGAGACACACTGAAAATACCAAATACACCAAAATAACCTAATAACGTTGAACCAAAGACTGTTAATTTACCTGTTTTGTTTTGAGCCCTCTGGTTCAGCCTTCCTTCATCCAATGTGTTTGCATGTAGTTTGTGTTTTCGCCACTAGGTGGCCACCTGAGCACGTCGATACACGACGGCGGTCGGATCGGGAGAGAAGCGCGTCGCTGGAAGAAAGTAAAACCATTTGTGCTTCGTCCTTGTTTTTTGGATGCAGAAAAGCTCCAGCTGCACTCGGTATGGTAAAGCACTGAGACTCTTTGAGACGCTTCTCTGTATAATGTAATGAGTTGTGTTTCTGAGGTGTTTACGTCTTGATGAGGTCATCCTTGCTGTCAGGACTTCAGGATTCAAGATGATTTTATTGATCAGGGAAATTGTTTTGTTCAAGTAGCACAAAAATAAATAAACGAATAAATAAATAAAAATAAACAGAGGAAGAACAAATTAAAAGCAAATACTATAAGTATGTATACACAACGGGAGCAGTGATTGTTATCAATTATTCAAATGCATTTATATCGTGCATTTTTAGAACAAGGCTTTTGGCCAGGTGTTTAAGACCTTGTGGACGTTTGTTTTCTGCGTGTGTTTGTAGTGAGAGTATTCACACACCAGAAGTTGATTTTCTCCAAGCAGAAAGCACTTTTGCAGGTCGACGCCTGTATGGAAAAATGTTGGAAATAAGGAGGGCAGAAGGAGGTTGCTGCATGCAGGGCAGTGTGCTTTGAGGTCGAACCGTTGGAGAACACCGCTCACTGCCAATCGACTCTAAATTGGGGGGAAGAGTTGGACTTGACCCTCAAAAAGACTCGAGAAAGGCTGCCTCAATTTGTGTACGCCAGAAGACACAGTTCAGTACCCTTCACTAAAGCACCTGGAGAACTCTACAGCGTATGCTGGATTTCTTTTTGTCAGTTTTAGTTCATTGTTTAATTCTGTTCAGATAAACTTCCTCCTCAGTTGGAAGATTAACCCATTTTAATTGAGCAGTATTACTCTTTTTTTTGTATTATCAAAACTATCTCAGCAAGTAAAGTACAACTTTGATCCCAAGTTAAGTATCACAGGCCCACCCAAGGCAGCGTTAGTCCGCCCTACAGTTTCATTTTGTACACAGATGAATGTGTTAGTTGTCAACCCAATCAGAATATAATTACATTTTCAGATGGCACAGTCATCCAACAGACAATCCCGACAGTCACAAATCTGCAGCAACCGCGTGTGATGCTATCACGTCAATGTGGACCAGACCCTCTGAGGAATGTTTCCAGCACTTTGTTGAATCTATACCACCAACAGGATTACGGCAGTTCTGACGGCGAATGGGGGTCCAACCCGGTCCTAGCAAGGTGTATCTAATAAAGTGGCCAGTGAGTGTATAAAGTCCAGAAAGCTATAGAGAACACTGTGAGAACGAGCACTAAAACTCTCGTCATGACATGCAAAATGTTCACTTTTTGGTAAATGTTCCAAAAAAAAAAAAAAAAAAAAAAAAATCAATAAAAATTCATTTTCCAGGGAAGTAATAATAAATACTTGCATTTTAATAGGACTTTACAGGACCTTTTTGCCTGGACATAGAGATTCTTTTTTTTTTTTTAACCAATGTTTATTTCTGTGATTTCATAAGATGCACATCCACCCCCCAAAAAAGAACAACAAAAAACATACCAAAGGGTAAGTACATTGGTAAGGAATGATAAGTACAAGGATAAAATGGTAACAGTGCAATGTAGAGAGACAAAGGGGTGAAGGAACATAGTAACCTGGAGCTGTCTAGAGTTTTAAGCTGTTATGGGACACTCTGTTTAATTGTAGTTCATGGAAACATTTCCTTTACTTCTTTTTGATGAGACAAAGCAAGCAACACCAGAATAAAAGCTTGTATTTTTAAATGTTTTCTTTCTTACATACACTTTTACTGTCATGGACCAGGAACAAACTTCTATACTAAATGGCTTTTCAGAGTTTTGCTTGAAAATTTTGCTTGTGTACTAAATGTAGCGTGTATTTAAATAGATAACTTTCTACTTAAAATTACAGAGTAGTGTTCACTTCCAAGACTTCTCAAACTCCAGAGTTCCCCATGAGGACCTGCAGGGTAAAACCATTTATTATTATTATTTTTTATTTTGCAGTTCTAGTTTCTAAACACTGTGCACATAGAATGTTTATCTATGGTCCTTACTAGGTAGTTGTCATACGACATCATATTCATACCCCGGACAGATTTAGCGTTAAAGTAATATTCCAAGTAATATTTAGCCAACGTGTTTTTCTGACTCAAAATAATATTAGTCATAAAACTAGACTGTTATTTTGTTTTCTACCCAGAAATCCCATCTTGAATCTGAGGAGAGAGCTAAAAAAATTTTTGGTGATGGCATGGTGACTTTCCCGCTTCAAAGACTTGGAGCTCTTTGCTACAGATAAATTATCCAAATACCTGAATACATGAAAAACTGCTGGTCAGATATCACTGGAGAAAGTTAGACTGCTGTATTGCCAACTATATATATTTTTCTTCAGTCATTAAAAAGCAGAAATAATTTTGGAAATGCCTTTTTAATATAATTTAAACAAAAACAGATGACATTTTAATATTCATGGTCCTTTCATATTTTCTTATTACATTTGGACAGATGTAAGGTTCTTGGTTGAATAAAACACTTATATCTAATTTTGCCAGGGGTATGAATAACTTGGGGCTCATTATATATATTCACCGAAAGCAGAAAAAAAAGAACATTTTTAGCTGGCTTTGAAACCACAAGCCCACTTTCTGTGAGAGCTCTGTTTCATGTTTCTCACCCAAGATGCTAACAACCAGTCCAACAGTTCACTTCTCCGTGATTTCTGTTATTTCTCTCATCATGCAGTTCAAAAGAAGGAAAAGCAAACCCTCCTCTTTAAAACTAGCTTGAAAATGCTTGATCAGTTCTGCAACTGTGGTCGTTTCGTAGGGGAAACAATCTGTGGAGTCCCATTTGTTGGTGTTGACGGTGACCCGGTTGATGGTTAACCATCAGGACACAAACTGATCTGCTGCACCACCAGCAGTTTAGAGATGGACCTGAAGAGATGAGAATTCGGAGTGGCGGTGGGCTTCACAGCTGCCATATAAAGTCATATGTGGAGTTCATACAGGCCGATCCACAGCATACTGGCAGGGGCTTAGGTTGGACACGGTATTCTGCACCGCTGGATAGGCGAAGTTGGTGTGCTGCTTTGCTTTAAGCCGTAGGCTTGCCAAGCTGGAATTGCAGGTGTCTCTGTACATGTAGGGGCTGGCTGTGGTGGCGTAGGGGCATGTGGCTGCAGTCACCGCTACAGAGTTGAGCGCTGTCGGGCTGTTGAGGTTATTGATGTTCCCCAGGTTGTTCAGCCCCGCTGCAGGGACTCCAGTTACAGCCGAGGGCACCATGCTAGAGGGCATGTTCATGGAGGGGATGGAACTTGAAGGCGAGAACATAGGCTGGGTTGACAGGGGAGTTACATTCATTGAATTAAAGAATGGGAAGCTTTTGGCAGACAGCGGGCTGCTTGCGAGCCCTTTGGTTGCCCAGTTATTGTAGGAGTAGCCTGTGTACATTTCATCATACGGCTGCATGAGTCCATTGAACTGGGCGCCAAAGCCATTTTTACATAACTCTGCCTGCTGGTTCCTTTCCCTTTTTCTCCACTTTGCACGGCGGTTTTTAAACCATACCTGAAGCATAGGAAGAAAGACAATCATATGTTTGTGCAAACAATTTAGTTGTACTAAACTGTGAACAGCAGAGTAAATGTGGTATCAAAACATCAAGTTCCATTGTCTCATGAGAAGGGAAACAAACTCAAATCAAAGGTCACTACATTACATTACAGCGCTGTGTTTTCTGGCAGTTTTATTTACACTGTTCCTTACTTTAGCAAAGAGATGACTTTGTGATCATATTTACTGAGGAAAGGAATTCAATCCCTGAACAACAAGCTTGAATACAAGTTGCAAAGAGAGCCATGAAATAAAACAAGTGTTTTCGTCCTGCTTTTACTCAACAGTGTGATTTATAACCTTCTAAAAAAGCACGCTTGATTTTATGTAAACTGAAGCTTTTTAATGTTCTTTGAAAGGTACTTTTTTCTATGCAAACATGCAGGTAACCAAATATGATAATATGGTAAAAAAAAAAAAAAAGTTATACTGGATTTAACAGTGAAGACTTTTTGGCCTGGGTGAAAGGTTCCCTCACCTTCATCCACTTTATGAATTTGATGTTTGCACGTGAGACAAAATTTCAGGAAAAAATGAACAAGTTTCTTCCAATTATTTCCTTCTTGAAACAGTCTGAAGTCAATAAAGTCTAATTCTAAAAAAAGATCCAGCCAGAGTAACTTAAGCCCACTCTCGTGATTTCAGTATTACTGTGTGCACACGGGTAAAGACATAATGATCCCACAAATTAAGATGAAGTGTATGATCAAACAGTATTAATCAGACCTTATTGAAACTAATCTGTCACTTATTTAAATAGTGAAATCTAAATGAAAGTCATGTCAGGGAAGGGCAATCTTCAAATTTGTAATTTTATGGTCTATTTTCTACGGGATATTAATTTCATTAAGCCTTTGGTTAAAATTTCAAAGGAAGAAAATAATTCTTAGGGAAAGTTCATCTGTGGGTAAATTCATGGAAAACTTTGCTCTAACTTTTATATCGAAGATAAATAAGATTAAATGTTTTGCATTTGGAGACATGCCAATCATTTATTTTAATTTAAAAAGGTAAAAAAAAAAAAGTAGGCATACTTATCATGCACACTTATCCCTTTGGGGTGCTGGTGCCTATTTCCAGCGGTCAGTGGGAGAGAGGCAGGGTCACCCTGGACAGATCGCCAGTCCATGTGCAGCAGCATGTGTCCATGTGTGTCTGAACCAGGTCTTTATCTCCTTGTGGGAACCTATTTCTGTCTACAATGTGGGGTTTTGTGGACACTGCTTCTTGTGGGGACAAATCTTGGTCCCCAAACCCTAAAATCTGATTTTAGGGTTTGGAGGTATTTGATGGTTAGGGTTTATGTGTGTGAGTGTGAGTGAGTGTGTGTGTGTAAATGAGAAGAACAAAGCTGGAATCAAAAGGTGCATTTGTCCAAGAATGCATCATGGCACTGTGTTCTCTACAATACTTTGCATTTGATTTTAGTAGCAAATCATTGCCTGGAGGTGTACTCATTTTGACTCAGAATAATGTTTGCATGTTAATGTTGACAAAGTCCAAAGCACTTTCCATCTTGGGAATAGATGAGAAACCAAATGTATTCACATTTCTCAATGTTGGATTATAACCAGGCGGTAATTAGAACTTAACTATGCTGTTTTACCAGCTGGTCAGAAGTTTAAAGGCTAAAGCCCACAAAACCCTAACAGTGTCAAAAAAAAATTAATAGTAAGCAGGCACTGTTCTTGTTTATCTGTTCAAAAATTCATGACGGATGCACGTGTTTCCAGTAGTCTGGAGGGAATGCTGCTTCATGGCTTTAGGAAGAGCTGCTTAGTGTAGAATTCATCCCATCCACCTCTATTACGCACTTATCCCTAGTGAGGTTGCCAGGTGTTCTGGTGCTTATCTCCAGCGGTAAACAGGCAAGAGGCGGGGTCACCATGGATAGACAGGACAAACAACCATGCACACACACACACACACACACACACACACACACACACACACACACACACACACACACACACACACACACACACACACACACACACACACACACACACACACACACACACACACCTAAGGAGAATTTAGACAGACCAGTCAACCTAACAGACATATTTCTGGACTGTGGGAGGAAGCCGGAGTACCCGGAGAGAACCCACTCCTGCACAGGAGAAAATGCAAACTCCGTGCAGAAAGACCCCAGGCTGGGTTTTGAACCCAGGAGGAACTTTTGTAAATCTCTTATGTTTATCCTTCCTTAAACATTTTCCACAGGATTTAAACCAGGAGAACATGTAGGGTGGTACATAAGAAGAAAATAGTTTCCCTGGATAAAGTTGTTATGAACTTCTGCGTTCATGACACAGTAGTCAAGCAAAGTTAATGTTTTTCACAGGGAGGCCTGCTGCAACATCTCCCCATAGTCTATCTGGATGTCCCTGCACAACCTGAATCAAAAAGCTCTCCAGATCATGACAAAGCACCCTCCACTGTGTCTTGTACAAAATCTATCTACTGGGACTTTCTTATTTTGCCAGTAACATTGCAAGCCATCAGGACCGTCCAGATTCTACCTTTCACTGTCCCATATTTGGTAGTCCCTTACAGTTCAAACACAGTGAAGTCTTCAAAATTTGCTCAAAATTTGACAATGGGATGGAAACATAGCTACTGACTGTATGTGTTATGTAAACAGGCTTCCTCATGATCAGAACATTTCTCCATTTAATCAATTATATAGGTCTGAGGATTGAGGGTTTTCATTATCTCAAATTTATAACTGACAACGTTAGCTATGAAATTATTCTGAGAAACTCTCAATCTCAGAGATTTACTTCAAACTCTGAGTAGTGAATGAGTCTAACTTTTAGATTTCAGTTACTAAAATAAAGGAACTGTTCAATTTTATTCTAATTTCCAGAGATGGACCTGTATGTTTTTAGAATGAATCAGGAAACAATCCAGAATACCACAAAGAGGGGGATACACTCTTTTTGTACATTCCCCGAGGACAACCAACTACCCTCAGTGAATCTAGATTTTGTGATATAAGCTTTGGTTGAAGTTAAATCTCCCACTGCAACTACGCCATATTTTCAGAGGAGAAAAATTAGTCTGCCTCAGAACACGACTGCAAAACAATCAACAAAATCGAGAGTCATGTTGAAAGCACCATGTCTTTTTAATTAAATGTCCTGCGGTTTAAATTGACCCTGTGTGTGTGTGTGTGTGTGTGTGTGTGTGTGTGTGTGTGTGTGTGTGTGTGTGTGTGTGTGTGTGTGTGTGTGTGTGTGTGTGTGTGTGTGTGTGTGTGTGTGTGTGTGTACCCACCCTGACCCGAGCCTCAGTGAGGTTGGTCCACACAGCGATCTCTTCTCTTGTGCTCATGTCTGGGTAGCGGTTTCTCTGGAAGGTGGCTTCCAGCTCCTGGAGCTGCTGGCTGGTGAAGTGAGTCCGTTGCCGCCGCTGCTTCTTCTTCAGAGAGCCGTCTTCAACACCTGACTCATCCAACTTGTTCTGCTGGGATTTCTCGGTGTCTGCAGATAAACAGGAGCTATCATTATTATCAGTTTCTTTCGCTCTCTCTGTTTTTCTTTACATTTTATTTATTGTTATACAACACATATTAAATGTACATTGGCAAGGAGTTAGGAATTATTCTGGTGCTGCATGTTCAGTTATTTATGATTGTCGTTACTATTACAATGCTTAGCCTGGTGTAATCTCTCGATTTTCTTGTCTTATAAGTTGGTTTGATTAAATGAGTGTTCACTTCTTCCTACGCCTTCTCAAGCAGAAAAGTCGTGGTAAGCTAATTATTTTTGTTCTTGGTGATGCACACAGATCCATACTGACCTCTTGTTTTTAAAAACCTGTTTGAAATAAATCAGACAATTGCTGTCTGATTTATTTCAGACAGCAATAAATCAGACATTGCTCTCTTTTGTTAATGTAATAACCCTCGAAGTTCTTTTTTTTTTAAATTGATCTGTGTGTTTTTCTGACATGATTTTATCACTTTTGCTTTTGAAACATAAAATTATTTTGTTAAAACAACATGTTATTTGTTTGGAAATGCAATGACCACCTCAATTCAATTTTTTGACACAAGCATGCAACAAGCTGAAAATGGTGCAAATGGTAAAGAAACGCTGATTAATTAGCAAAACAATTATCTCGCATATCCTTGTGTGATTTCCCATAATCTCACTCGTCGTCTTCAGCACAATATCAGTCTGACTGTAATGAATCACGTCATCGCAACATGATAACATTTCATGAATGTTAAGTTATTGAATTTCTTGTTTATCCAAGATGATTTTATCACATTTTCGTTTGAAACATGAAATTATTGTGTTAAAAGTACATGATATTCTTTTGTTAATGTAATAACCCCCAAAGTTCTTTTTTTTTTTTTTTGAGCGCATGATTAACCCTCCGAGTATATTATAAGCCTGGCAGACCACCAGGCTTTACTTCTGCCCACACCAGACTAAACATTGTTTATTTATTTAAATCTTTTTAAAATGTTGGCATTTCTTTAAGACTTGACAGTTGGTGTTCAGGTATTTATTTTCCAATCTTTGAATAACAAGTAATTATCAAGTAATATTTTCAAATTGCCAGTCAACTTTAAACATTTTTTGACTGAAAAACACGGCAGGCTGCTGGATGAATGACTGACCGAAAGTTTCTGGGGAAATCTTGTATTAATATGTTTAAATACAGAAAGACTGTCGTTAGAAAAGCAGTCAACACTTTAGTGAAAAACATGAAACAAATAAGGTTCAACTGATAATCAAGATGAAACTAATAAGTATAGAACTGCTGTTCTATAAATAGCAAAAGCAATCTTACTCAAGTCAATTGGGTTGTAACACTACTACATAAAAAAGACTAATAAGAACAAATCCAATCTCTAATGGCCTGAAGAAAAAATAAATAAAAGCACTCGGTGTCACTGCACTTCAAGAGGATGTGCTTAAAGATTAGTGCAAAATTCAAATGATCAAGTCAAAGTTCTTTGTATCTATACGCGCCACACCGCCATATAAATTTGCATGAAGCTCATAATCAACACAGCCCAACCTCAGACGAATGAAAATATAATCTCTGTTCAAATAGCAACTCAAGTCCCTTCAGGCGAGAAACCGACGACCGTGATTGTGCTACAATGCCAGGAAAACAAATGCAAACAATTATTACATGCAAAGCGGATCTGATGCTGTGTCTGTCTTCTCCCCAGCAGAGTTGGTTTAAAGGTCTGCTGGATGTTATGTCTGCCTGGGCTCCTCGCTGCCAGATCGAGCTCATGCAATTTGAGGACCTTACAGAAAGACGTGAATTTAGCTGGCGAGCTAATCCCGTGGATCAGGCCTTTGTGACCGGGCCAGGTTGGGTTCTGTTTGGTGAGGGCTTAGGTCTCTGGGAGCAGTTCAAAATGATCAACTGGGTTTAAAAGGAAGCTCCACGGGGCCACCAGCAAAACCAATAAGGGCCAGGCTGAGGCTGTTATCTGGCAGTAAACTGACACTGGTAAGCTGTCACTTAAGTCTATAACACAGCACAGAGGAAAGGACTGGCCTTTCAGAGTGATCTCCTAATGAACAATGGGACCAGTTTGACTAACAATGTGCCAGAAGGAGAGAGCTATATGCTCCAGCTTTGTGCATCAGATTATTTTAAGCAGAAGAAATCACTTCAGCAAAGTATTAAAATCATCGCCTTTCAACACCTGGGAAGACAGAAAAGATCCCAAACTAACAAAAATGCTGCAAATAAAAGTTTATTTTTATTTCACATGTCAGATGATTCAGTCAAGGCTTAGCAGCTGTAGCACTCCTATGAGAAATATTCTTCCCATAAATGAATGTCTCTTAACCGGAGTGCCTGAGTTCAGTCATTCATTTCATTAGAATAATTTTTTTGTCTTGCAAAAGCAAACAAACAAATGAATAGGTTACAAAAATCTTGTGAAACACAAATTAGTTCAAATAAAACACTGCAGACATTTATATTTATTCCTCCTCCACTTTAGAAAAAGAAAAGAAAAAAAAAACAGAAACCAACTTTTAACGCGCGCGGTCTACAAAGCCTGAATTTAAATCATAAAATATAGCCTATTTTAGTTCAACATTTTTAAAAAACGTTGTTAAACGTTAAAGTGAATCACGGAATCGTTTCTATGAAATAAATTAATAATAATAATAATAATAATAATAATAATAATAATAATAATAATAATAATAATAATAATAATAAACTTCTGGTTCGCAAAATATAGTTACGAACCGATCATTTAAAATGTGTCACGTAAGAAAGTATTTAATTCGGGGCTAAACTACATGATAAGTACATTGGAATCAGAATATATATATGAAAAATTAAAATAGGAGACTTCATGTCTCCTTTCTTTTCTGTTTGTACGATCCACGTGGATCACGTCGGTTCTCGCTGATCGGTTCAGCGCCACCGATACGAGCCGTCGGTTGATTAATCAGCGCACCGTGAAGGGTCCGGGAAACCGGGGGCGGGGGGAGGTGGGCGCTGCCGCCGCGGGCACAGTGAACTATGACATTATAAAAATTAAAACATGTAAAAAATCACAAAAACATGCTTATTGACACATTTAAAAACTATTTAGAGCAAGGAGGTTAAAAATGAAACGGTTTCGCTCAAAGCAATCAAGAAAAAAAAAAAAAAAAAGGAGAAATGTTCTGATCCACATGCAGAGGAAGAGACAGGCAGATGTGCTGACTGACCGCTTTGGTCCTGGCCTTTACATCCCGACTCATGCTGCGGTGTTCCGGAGTCAGACAGAGACAGCGCCGGGCTGCGGGTCTCACTGTCTGTCAGCAGGTTAAAATCCATCACCAGGCTGTATGCGCAAACACACACACACACACACACACACACACACACACACACACACACACACACACACACACACACACACACACACACACACACACACACACACACACACACACACACACACACACACACACACACACACACACACACACACACACACACACACACACGGAGGAGAGACATGTTATAAATAGGTTAATATTCCCAGGTCACATTTAACGTGGGCACTGTGATCCTCAAATCAGAGACAAACTCACTTCATTATTAAACATTTAGTACCATTTTGTGTGGTTTTTTTTTTTAACAGACTATTTTCTTGCAGTCCAAGCTTTCCTGCTTTGAAGATGTGACTGATGTTTCAGCTCACTGTTCCCTGGTGAGCATTGTAGAAATTCTGACCTTTACATAAAAATCAGACGAGGCTTTACAGCAAACTGTCGCAATTAGACTGTTGTTGTTGTTGTTGTTACAGATCAACATAGAAACTCAGCAGAATTGCATCTATTTCCACGTCTCTCAAATGCAATAAAAGTCAGTACCGTGCATTTTATACGCTGTTGCCATAAAAATCACATAAATCAACAATGTCTCCATTTTGTGTTTCGCTTCATCTGTCAGTAGCTTACATCATGTGTCTATTTCTTTCTCTGTTTGCTCCGTGTGTGTGGCGGTTGTGAGCCTTTACAAGAGGTTGACACAAGCAGCTGTAGGAAGCCCTGTCCTGTGGACTCGGTCTATTTTGGAACATGAGACGAGCCACAAAAAAGCCTCACAATGACATTTCGCTCTCATTTCATACTTGCGGGGACGAAGCATTGTCTCCCAGGCCGCGGCTGATTGCCCCGTGATCAGTTAACGCTTTGACAACGTCGATGGAAAGCAGAGCCATCCGGGTCTGCCAAAGCCACAAGAGGTTTGGGAATGACACGCAAATAAAGCCAACATGTTGACAGCAGAAACAGATTTAACCAGAGGCGTGGGCACGCTTGGGCAACTTCACAAGTCCAACTGGCAAAATAGATGATGAACAAACCCAGAATGATAAAAGTCAGAAAGGGCATCCGGCTGCTTGGCCTTTTTTTCATTATATTCTTTTGCAATTGCAGTGGCATCAGCATGCAAGCTGAAGTAATGCTGTCAGTCTCTGTCTGGTGAGAGCTGGACAGTCAGCTGCCCGGTGTGTATTGTTTTGCTACATATGTTATAGATTTTATGTGTGCCAATATATTTTCTGAGAAACCTGTTTTAGGCGTACACACACACCTACCCTGTTCATGTCTCCCTGCCATCTCTCATCTCTCATGCCAGCTCTTTGTATTTTGGTTACATGAGCCTTTGTGATGCTTTGCACACAAACACACAACAGCAACACACTGACTCGAGTACTTGAGTAAGGCTGAAGCAGAGGATGGAGAAACTACATCCTCTGACACCCTTTTCCCTAATGAGCCACTATCAAACTGATGAGTATGTATTGTTATACATGTGTAAAAAATAAATAAATAAGCAATGCATAATGCTTAATTGATTGTCATCAAGACATTAAGAGCTGAATTTACAGATAGTCATGTTTTTATTATTTCTTTTTAAATGAAAATCAGACAAAGTAAATCAGTCTCCATTAGATCAGCATCATGATACTGAGATCTTAAACAGAAGCTCCAAAGGCCTCAGCCTATAGACTCCAGGATTTCCCTCAGTGTATTATAAGCCTGGCGGCCCACCAGGCTTTACACTGTTAATTTCTTCTTCTTTTTTTTTTAATGATTGCTTTTTTAAATTACTTTATAGTTGGTGTTCAGGCATTAATCTTCCAGTCTTCCAAAAATGCAAAACTGTCAAATGATATTTTCAAATTTCCTGGCAGCTGTAAAAAAACAGTTTTGAACTCAAAAACACGGCGGGTGTCTGGATGACTGCCGTAGCGCCCTGAGCACCGGGCTTAGCAAGTTTTCTGGGGGAAACCCTGGACTCTGTGACCACATGGCTAACACTGACAATGTCCTCTTTCTGGAGAGACATGTAATACTGTTTTCTTAATGTACCTACATTTTATTATCATACAACGGAAACTATGAAGTCTCTAAACCAGGCAGGTGGTTTAGAAAGGCGGTAAATAAAGTGAGGATGCCAAACTCCAGATCGGCTGTCTGTGTTTTTTTTTTCTTTTTTTTATTGTACTGATAAGACGGTGAGGGTAGTTACTGACTTTAAATTTGGTTACTCTTTAAAATATAAAACATCTTCAAATACATAACAATTAAAGGGGGCATATGATAAACTATGGAAATCCTCAAGATTTCCATAGTATCGATCCCACAGGAAAATGAATGGTTGTTGTAACTCATATTAATTTAAGATTATTCAAAAAGTCATTGTAGATGGTGATGGCTACTGGCAGGTTGGATCTCCTGTAGAGGTCTGCATTACAGCGAATTTGGAGAAATTGCCAGCTGAAGATTTGATGTGCAGTTGGCAAAGGTTTTCCACTTGAACTCCTCTCCACTCCCACTTTATGCAAATCCCCCCCAAAAAATGACTTCCACTGAAGCACTGGTACACCTTCTAACTTCTACCTACTGACTCTAAACTCAAAAATTATTTTAGTATGTCATAAAGTCACTAATTTGAATGAATTCAAATTGGTTTATTTGAAGCAAAAATTAGTTCAATGGGTTTTTTTTATGAGACAAACAGATCCAATTCACACACACACACACACACACACACACACACACACACACACACACACACACACACACACACACACACACACACACACACACACACACACACACACATATATATATATTATATTTAACTACATTACTTTAACTACATTAATTCCAATTCCACTACAATATTGTCAGGTTTAGTTTGTTATTATCCCAATTAATCAATAAAGTTTTCTTTAGGAGGAATCCTGTTAAAACTGTATCATATGGATGGAGGTTTTTGTTGTATCTTTTTGGGAGGGAGGGGGGTAAAGAAAGTAAGATTGCTGAAAGGAAAACCACTGGAATAAGACTGAAAAAATTCTAGTTCAGAAACATGTACCTTCCTGCCTCCTAATAGCAAATATGTCAATTAAAAGGGCTCAGTGACTCATGTTTACATAATATATTTAAAGAGCTACCCTTTGTCTCACTTCAGATTTTGTTCTTGGTGTCTGTGGATGAAGCAAGGTTTTCTGTTTGGACTCAATTTTACTTCTAAAATAAAAGTGCTGCTGTTAGAGGGTTGCCTGTTTTTGGTGGGGTTGGGGGTTGGATTTCATAACTGAATAAAAAAAATCAGTCCACAGGTTTATTGTGAAACCGTGCTTCTTTTTTTTTTTTTTTTTTTTTTTTTTGGCATCACAGAGGGGTTTGGGGGGCCCAGCCCCTTTCAACCTGACACACTCCTCAGGAGACAACGTCAGGCCCGGTCTGTGGAGAGGAGTGCGCTTTTACAGGGCCCCGGCTATTTCCTGGGGCTGGGGGCCACTATATGAGGCCCTGGAAAAACAACCCCTCTCCTGCCCCCTGCAGCCCCCCCTCTACCCTCTACCCCACAACCTGACGCGTTTTAATTCACTCACATCATGAGGCGTGGACTGCGTGTCTAACTTCGATGTTGAGGTGCAGCGGAGGCTTTCATTTAAATACCGCCTGTGATAATAACAAATAAATAGTAATGAGAAGCAGAAATCCTCCTTTTTTTTTTTTTTTTTTTTTTTCCAGGAAATTGCCGGATCCATCTGGCGGCGCGGCGCATTCCGCTCGGCCCCGCACGCATTGCTCTGGGAATTATTCATAAACGCGTCGAGAATTAATTCCCGGGATTAGGAGTTGATTAAGATGTGTGTCACTTTGCTGTCTGAGAACTTATTAAGGGCCACCTCCAAGAGGCGGCAGATGGAATTCCAGACCAATGTTTGTAGATGTTAATTTCCACTCTGGTATAACATCTATTTGCATATGACTGAGGGACTGAGAGGCCGAGGCAGTCCTGCGGCACAATCACCAGAAAATAATTGTCTGTTCCGGGTAATAGGAGTCCTCTGCGGCGATTAACATGGAGCTCATCGATATCTAGAATTTAGGACGATTTATCGAATTGAAACGAACACTCATGTTGTTCCTTTTGAAAGTGTAAAAACTTGAATAATTCAGCCTCAACTCATTAAGAGCATTTTTTTTTTTGCCAGGGTAGCCTACAAACAATAAGGCTGTGATGATTTTTCTTTCTATATTTAAAAAAACAACAATAACAACAACAAAAAACATTGATTTAATTCAGAGTAGTTTCTATTAAATTAAGGGACTTCAAAAAAAAAAAAAGGATCTCAGGGGCCACAGCAGACAGGAGAAATCCGTGTTCGACCTAAACTGCAGCTCAATTTGGAATTTATGCGTTCATTTCCACCAACAGGGTTTCTGCAGTCAGCGTACAATTTGTCATTTTGGTGAAGGGATTTCAAGCCGACTAATAATACTGGCCTACCTGGATGTTCGCAGCATCCCGGTCGGCCTTCAGGACAGGCTGGTAACCAGAGGGAACATTTACATCCATCCCCTCAGGCCAAACTCTGACATGGATTAAACAAATCTGTCTCAAACGTCCGGATTTGCTATTGGGCCTAAAGAGACCATAAACTGAAGGTCTCCAGAACCATGCAAATTACTAAAATAACTTGACATTTTTGTTGTTGTTGTTTTACCATTTTTTTATAGGTTACCCAGATTAAATGAATCAAACAACAGCCAGCTAAATATCTAAATAAATAAATACATATCTAGATCAATTAGCAAGGCTGTTGCATTGAACTTCAGGTTCAATGCAAACTGCGCTTTTCACATCCATTCACAAAAAATCGTGGAGCTATTTATTAGATAGGAGTAGAAAAAAAATGTTTATCTGACGTCAGACTGCGAGATTTAGCATATCCCAATTATTATTATTATTATTATTATTATTATTATTATTATTATTATTATTATTATTATTATTATTATCAGTAGTAGTAGTATTGTTGTTGTTGTAGTTGTAATTATCATTACTATTATTGTTATTATTATAATAATATTAATTATTATTTAGTATTTTATGTATTAATTAAAGTAATTATTATTGATATTAATAATAATAATTAGTAATAATGTTGTTATTATTATTACTGTTAACCAATTAAAATGATCTGATATTTTGTGCCGCGTTAATTTGTTCCGTAGCATATAATAAATGTAAGAGTTAAGGTGTGTGTGCGTGTGTGTGTGTGTGTATGTGTGTGTGTGTATTTTGTCAACACAAACAACGGAAGCATAAATGAGAACGTTCTCCTCACATCAAAATATTTTTTCACCTTCTAAAATACTTGTCTTTCTGCGCAAAACACAACAGTTCTGCCAGGCGCACAGCTTGCTAAAATACAAAAAAAAAAAAAAAAAAAAAAAAACATTCTGACTGCAATATGTATTTCCAGAGGACAGGAAAGCAGCTATTGAGTTTGCTCTTATTTTGGTTTTTTTGTTTGTTTTTTTTGCCAACAGTGAAAAGGAGAAATGACTTGGCAAACAGACGCGCAGCCTGACGCAGACTGAACGAACTGACCGTTCAGATGAGAGAAAACACTGGTGTCAGCTCAGACACGTAAACACAAACACATGCTGGTGAACAAAGTGACAGACATGAAAAAAAAAAGGAGGGAAAGTGAGCTCGTGCACTTACGTGAACTGCGGGTCTGGCTAAACGAATCCGTGTAATAAGAGCAAAGGAGTTTGCTGGGCGCTGCTGGGTCTCCTGGCCTCGGCTGCGCTGGTGACATGGACAAAAAGTTCCAAGGTGCGGCGAAATGTCAGGGAAAAGCGCCTGACAGCCAGCGACGATCCTCTCCTCGTTGTTCCCTCAGTGCTGATCAACATGAAGCTGCGCAGGAGTGAGGCTGGATCCCCTCTCAGAGCAGAGGGACGGAGGTGGGCGGGGGTTCGCCTCATGTTAAATACTGTGTGTGGCGTGCAGGTCCTACTGAAGAAGGGACAGTCTGCCTTTCTCTCGCCCTCTTCCTTGTCTTTGTCTCTCTTCGAGCTCGTGAGGTCCAGACTAACACTACCCCCCATTACCTGTCCACAGCCTTCTCCCCCTTCTCTTCTTCTATCAACCCCTCCATTTATTCATAGATGGTTGGTTAAATTGGGGCCTTAAATAAAATCTAAAAACAACAACAACAACACGGTTAATGCACCTCACTAGGCCGCTTCACACTCAGAACCGCTCCACTGACCACAGTATGTGTAGCCTATCTGATTAACAAATGTCACATATTAATGCACGATCAAAACAACAATAATGTTAGCAAAATTTACTCAAATTTGATCATAAACTAATAAAATAGAGAAAACTGATGGATCGTACTGCTAATTCAAAAATCCTTTGGTTTCCAGAGATAAATAAATGCATTCACATTCCCGTTAGTGCTTAAAGCAGCAGAAGTGTCACATTTTATCCCTCAGTGTGCCAGACATTCCCTCCCCAACCCAACATGGGCCCCATTGATGGCGAGTCCCAGTTTTAGTGAGAAAAAAAAATGATTTAGTGGGAAAGTTTCTTGTTTTTTTTACAGGTAACTTTTGCTTGATACGTCCACAGTTACAGCTAGAATCACATGACTAATGTCATTTGAAAATGTAGCTTATTAAACTAAATGTGTTGCATGTTTCTTCAACTAATTTCGAAGCACAACATTAACACCATTAGCTAAACACCATGGTGACAGGTGTCACAGCCCATTCGTTGTGCATTTAAAAATGCAAAACAATTTTACTTTTCAATTTATTAATTCAAAAAAGTATGGCATTAGTCAAAAAAGTGATAGATGCCATTCATCCATCCATCTTATAAGCAGCCTTACTTTTAGCAGCCTAAGTCAGGAGGCCCAGCTTCCTGGAGGGCCAGCTCCTGTAGGAAGAGGCTGGGTGTTCTCAGTACAGCCGAGAAACAATCATCCCTCCAATGTGTCTTTCCCTGGGAATCCTGCTGGTTGGACGTGCCCAGAACACCTCACTAGGGAGGCGTCCAGGAGGCATCCTGACCAGATGCCCGAGCCACCTCAACTGGCTCCTCTGGACGTGAAGGAGCAGCTGCTGTATTCTGAGACCCTCTTGGATGACTGAGCTTATGACCTTATCTCTAAGCGAAAGCCCAGACACCCTGCGGAGAAAACCCATTTGGGTATCCATGACCTCATTCTTTCAGTCATGACCCAAAGTTCATGACCAAAGAAAGATGAATCGAATAGACGAGGGTAGGAACATAGAAGTCTTTCTCCATGGCCTCTCCGAACTCCCGACTTTTAGCCTCAATAACCATTTGAGCTGCATGCCGCTTGGTTTGCTTCTGGAGTCCCAGCCAAGAAGGCCTGATAGGACTCCTTCAGCCTAACAGCATACCTCACCAAAGGTGTCCACCAGTGGGTTTCAGGATTGCTGCAGCAACATGCACTGACAACCTTACGCCCACAGCTCCAACAGGCTGCCTCAACAATGGAGGCATGGACCATGGTCTACTCATATTCAGTGTTCCCCACCTTCTCTGGAACATGTTCAAAGTCCTCCTGGAGGTGGGAGTTAAAGCTCCATCTCAACAGCAGACTCTTATAATACATTTGGACCTGCCATGTCTGACCAGGACCACCAGCGCCAACTCACCACAGGGTAGAGGTTAGTGGACAGCGCTTCACCTCTCTTCACCTGCATGCCCAAGACATGTGGCTGCAGATCAGTCGAGGAGACAACAAAGTCAATCATTGAACTGCGGCCGAGGATGTCCTGGTGCCAAGAGGACATATGAACACCGTTATGATTCCACATGGTGTTCGTTATGGACAATCCATGACGAGCACAGAAGTCCAAACAACAAAACACCACTCGAGTTCCCAACCAAACCCCTCACTGTCATTGCCCACATGAGCATTGAAGTCCCCCTGCAGAACAAGTCACATCAAATATGATTCCTGAACTAATCTATCCAGACATGGACCCTTTAGTCCTACCTGAAGGGTCAAAATCAGTCAAAGGATTGTGGTATTTTTTTTCTTAAGAAACTGATCATTATTCTTTCATCCAAAGATATTGAGGGGATTCAAAGAATGATCACTTCAAACCCCATTCTTGTGAAATTATACTCATAAGAACATGATATTCTTTCAGAATGCAACTAAAGATCAACCCTTGACGATCCAAAGATAAAAAAAATCTTACTGATCCAGAGAATATCATTTCCAAATGGGAACTGTTAAAGTTCTACCATAGCATAGTTTTCTTGAAGATCTGATCTACACTTGCTAATTGAACAGTCAATTAGCCTCATCTTTGACCATGATCAATTTGAAGTCTGAAGATTTCCTGGAAAGATGAATAACACAAGACAACCAAAGACAAACAGCCTAAAATCAACTAGAGGATTAAAATGGGACCTGTTCATGAAAAGTTCTGTGCTCCATTGATATTTTAGTGTAACAACTGATTGTTGTATTCTTCTTACTGTTGTTTCCGTTGTGTTTCGCTTATTCAGAGTTGCTCGGCTGAATGTGTTTTTGCAAAGAAAATTGTGAAAGTATTCTCTTTTTAATATAATCTGGTAAAGATTTGCTCTAAGTAGAACATATGTAAATTAATCATGGCAAAAAGATTACCTATTACATGGTTATTGTATGCAGATGTGAAATGCTACAAAGTCTTATACTGATTTTATCAGACAAAGGTTGTTTAGGACTTTAGATTATGCAAAATTTACTTTTCTGAGCTTTATATCGTTGTTACTCCTTTGTCACAAACATATCTGGAGTGTTGCTTTGATTCTGTCATGCGGGTTTAAGAAATTCTTTAATCTCCCTTGGCAATCATTCAGCTGTGAAAATCTCCTTGTGGAACAAGGTCGAAGATCCTCCCCGGGCCTGCAGTTTCCAAGCTACCAAGCGTCTGCCTCACAGAGAACGCCTTCCCTCCGACTCCCCCACTCAGCTCCATCAGACTAGCCTGCTGCAATCAGCAAATCCTTGCTGAAACTTTGGATCTGCTGACCTCATGGTATGAGCTACTTCTCAGTGCAACATTGGTAAAGACATTGCTCAAGGGCTAATAAAGGAGTGATGTCGTGATGCCTTCTTGAAGGTAGAGTGCCAGAAAGATCGGGAGTTCCTTAAAGAACCAGAAGTCCAATTTCAAGGCTTCAAATTAAGAAATTAAATTTATGTTAAGTCAAATTTGATACAGCATTTTTATAACAACTGAAGGTAGATAGTTATTTGATTGTCCTACCAAAATGGCACTATCTGGGTGAAAAACATAATATTTCACCTATAAAACTACAGTGTCTAAAACTAATTTTTTCACTGCTAGCTTAACTCGTTGTACTGATCACTGTGATGCTCAATATACTCTGTGCCAGATTGTAACAACAGCTAATTCTCATTCGCAGTCGTTATTCCGAAAGAATACAAGAGATCAATTCGCTGAGGTATAAATTGTATAAATGAAAAATTGCGTTCTGGAAAAAAGTTGCCCCACCTTTGATTTGGCCAAGAAATAGCCACCAGACCATACCCTATCAATATAAGATTTTAAAGTGGTGTCAGTTTTTTTTTTTTCTTAAAATCTGGTAAAGGAGGTTAAGGTCAAAAAGCTTCCTGATGATTTATTTATTCAAAGAGGAAAAAGATGGGTGGCATCCGAAGAAAGAAATCTTGCAGGACTAAAGGCAAAGCAAACACTATCATCATAAAAGAGAGAAACAGCCTAGGCGAAACCATGATACACATTATTATATTTATGCTAAGCACTGAAATGTGATCGCTAAATAAATTGCATAAATGAGCCTCCACACATTGAAAACTGGATTATGTTCTGCATGCATCCACAGCGAAAATGCAGGCCCGGCTTTCGTCATAAGGCAAGTGCAACCTAACATGCTCTCCCCACTTATTATCTTGTCCCGCCCCCTTGTCATATTGTAGCTCTCAACAAAAAGTGAAACGGAATGAAATAAAATAATTAGACCTAGCCGGTTGATTACAGAATATCGTAAGCATAACTTCATTTTAGTTATTGAACTGGAGCCACTATTATCGCATCTCAAACGCGCACGTGACGCTTGCGTGTTATGATTTGTTTGAACGTCAATCAAACCCTTAACGTCATGGTAGGTTGGCGACGCACAGCATTTCCACGTCAGTGTGTTTACCAAAGCCGGGCTAACAGCTACAGGAAGTGCTTCAAGCTGTTCATCTCTGGACCGTTTTGAGGGGAATGATTGATTATGCACTAATGAGAGAGATCACGTCATCACTCGGTGGAATGTCTGAGTTTTGTGGTTTGTCTGTTTCTGACAGTGAACTGGACTTTGTTCTCCTTGCTTCACTGTTGTCCGACTAGCCCGTTTAGCTGGTCGGGAAAAGGCAGCAGCAGCAGCTCCGCCGGGACTCCTTGTTTGAACCCGTAGCCTCGAAGGAAGGTAATTTGTCTTTAATGTTCTGATGTCAAGCGGGGCAAATATTTGTACGTCCAGCCGAGGTTCCCTTAAAAAACAACCGGGACACAGAAACGTCTTTGGAGCAGGTCAGAGTCACGACTAGCACAGGCTAATGAAGCTAGGCTGTGCTAGCTGCCACATCAACTGTTAATTATTTGTCAACACATAACGCCCTTTGGCTTGTTGGTAGTAGCTGAAATATACATTTGTGTGCTTCTATTGTAATATCAGAATATCAGTTATATCTGATAATCCAGCAGTTAGCATGGTTTTACAATGACAGAAACGTTTCTGAGTATTAGCTGCTCAACAACTAAACTGGTTAACGTTGTTTAATTTGCCTCGTAATATCATCCGGTGCCT